GTATTTTTATGTTCTTTTAATAGTTTAGCTTTTTGAGCATTGATTCTGGTTAATTCTTCTCCCATTCTCTTTTGTAAATCTAAATTATCTTGTAATTTTTTGTTATTCATATTTTTTACTTTGTAATTTGGACATTTTTAGTGTATTTTGAAGTAATAAAATGGTTAATGACCTTCTAGAAATAGTTCTTGAAGGAGCAATTTATGCTGATATGCATGACCGATTTGCTAAACAAATAAGTATTCCAGTTCACAAAAAGTATGATTTTCAACTTTTTAGTTCTACCATTACTAATTTTTCGTTAAATCTGTGATTAAAACCAGGTTTACTTAAACAAAGTTAGAAAAAAAATTTTGACTATTTCTTTGTGCGACGAAAAAAAAAAAAAAAAAAAAAAAGCGTTATTTTAAGTAATAAAAAAACCAAAATGGAAAGATAAAAATTGAAAATTTTTTGTTTACTATTTTAAATAACTCAAAATAATGATATATGAGCGAATTTAACTTAAAGGAAGAATTTTTTGATAAGCAAAAAAATAGATTTGAATTTAATTTTCAAGGTCGAGAAGTAGTATTTGAAATTGATCAATTAGCTACCAAGAGTGAAAAATCTATTCTTTGCCGTTATGGTAATACTACGGTATTGACTGTGCTAACAATTAAACAATTAGCAAAGGAGGTTAATTCATTTTTTCCTTTAACAATTAACTTTGAAGAAAAATTTTATGCAGTAGGAAAGATTCCTAATGCTTTTGGCAAGCGAGAAGGTAAACCGAGTCATGATGCTATCACGGCGGCTCGAATGATTGATCGTTCACTGCGAAGTCTTTTTCCTTTAGGAAGTAATCAAGAGGTGCAAATAAGTAACTGTGTTCTTTCATTAGATCAAGAATGCGATCCTCGTTTAGTATCGATTTGAAACTCTTTTTTGGTTTGTTTTATTTCTCCTAATCTACCTTTCTTTCAAACCCCTTTGGCAGCAGTAGTGATTGGTAAAGAAAAAGATAATTTTATTTGTAATCCTAGTAGCGAACAGTTAAATAATTCTCTTTTCGAACTAATTGTTAGTGCTACGGAAGAGAAGATTACTATGTTAGATGGTGCAGCCCAGGAAATAAGTGAAAAAGAATTAGAAAAGGCCATAAATTTTGCCCAAAAAGAAATCCTTGTATTAATCGGTTTTTTTCGTCACATTGCTAGCGTATTAGAAGTTAAAAAAGAACCGATGATAACAAAAGAAATTGACTTAGATATTCAACAAAATGAGTGATTATCAGAAAAATGTAATTACCACTTGGAAAAAATTCTTGTCTTATCTAATGTTTCCTGGATAGAAAAAGAAAAAAAGTTGAAAGAGTGTCGTCAAGAATTAACTAAAGAGTATTACAAAAAAAACTCTCACTTAGAAGAAGATTATGTTAAAGGTTTGATTGAGCAATTTTGAGACAAAAGTTTGCAAAATTGAATGAGGGAAATTTGAAGAACAAAGCAGGTTCGCCTCGATGGAAGAAGAGTTGGAGAGATCCGTCCCTTGAAAATTAATATTGACTATTTGCCTAATGTTCATGGGAGTGCAGTTTTTGAACGAGGAGAAACAAAGGTTCTCGCGGTGGTGACTATTGGAAAAATTAGTGACAAGCAATTAGTTGACAGTATATTTTCTCGTTATCATAAGTATTTTATTCATCACTATAATTTTCCCCAGTTTGCTGTCAATGAAGTAGCTAGTTACCGCGGCGTGTCTAGGCGGGAAGTTGGTCATGGTGAGTTAGTAGAAAAAACCTTTGATTATTTACTTCCTGAAGTCAGCAATTTTCCTTATACTATTCGAGTAGTTTCAGAAGTTTTTTCCTCAGATGGCTCTTCTTCTCAGGCTTCTGTATGTGCTGCTTCTTTAGCTTTGATGACTGCTGGCGTTCCGCTTGTTAGGCCAGCGGCTGGAATAGCCTTGGGATTGTTTGAAGGGCAAATATATACTGACCTTAACGGTCTAGAAGACAAATTAGGAGAAATGGATTTCAAGATTGCCGGAACTGAAAAAGGTATTTGTTCGCTACAACTGGATGTAAAGAACAATGGAATTAGTAGTAAACTTTTAAGAGAATCTTTGGAAAAAGCTCGTCAGGCTCGGCTCTATATATTATCTGAAATGAAGCATTTAATTCTTCATCCTCGTTCTACTTTGCCTACTCAAGTCATTAAGTGTCGTAGTTTCTATGTGGAGAAAGAAGTAATTGGTTTAATTATTGGTCCGCGGGGTAAAACGATCAATCAGTTGACGGAGGAGACTGGTTCAACTATTGAAATTGAAGATGATGGATATGTAATAATTTACAATCAGGAAGAAAAAAAATTAGAAAGAACTTACCAAGCAATCAAAGGTATAATTAATAAAAAGAGATTTTAAATTTGTCAGTTATTAAAGAAATTTTCAAAGGCTTTTTTCGCACTTCATGTCACAAATTAATTCCCGAAAGAAAGCAAGGATTAGGAAAAAGTTAGCTGTCTACTCGATTTTCTTTCTTTGTTTAATAATACCTCTTTGTTGCTTGCTTTTTCTAGAAAACAAGTGGTTAAATGTGATTGCTTCTTTTATTCTTTCTATACTTTATATTCGTTATTATCGTTTGACAATTAGATTATGAAAAAGATTGGGAGAGGATCTTCCTCGTAATTTAGAGATATTGCCGTGAATAGGAGGAATAAGAATAGTTTTGAGTGTAATTCTTTTTGTTATTATTTTGCTAGTTCCTAATATCTCGTTCTAAAAAAACGAATTTGCTTTTAACCTAATTACCAAGTCTAAAGTCTCTTTTAGCTTGGCATTAGGTATTGTTTAATAAGTTAACTCTTTAGTTTTGGGTTATAGCAGCGGAATTTTCTTAAAATTAGGAAAATAGAATTATACTCGTTTTTAAACTTAAAAGCAATGGGAGAAAGACTAGATAAAATTAAAGAAAAAATTGCCCAAAAAGAAGCAGAAATTAAAGAATTATGAGAAAAAATTAGGGTTGCAAAAGAAAATCCGAAGGAAGAAATTAATAAAGAATTAAAGGGCATTAAGCGCACTACTGGGCAGCATCCAGGAGGTCTATTGATCACTTTACCAAATACTGACATTCAAAAATATACTCCTCTTAACTATCCGGCTGACAACCGTCAAGCAGAATGGATGACTACCCATTTCGAGTATAGTTTTTTATCCGAAATGTTCCTTAAAGTTGACATGTTAGGACACGATGAGCCAACTATCTTACAAAAGTTGTTCCAATTAACTGGAATTGATCCTGAAAAAATTTCTTTTCGAGATGAAAAAGTAATGAAAATGTTTACAGAAGCTGATACTCTAGGAATTCCAGAGTTCGGTACTGATTTTGTCAAAAGGAATTTATTAACTCCTTTAAAACCAACTAAGTTTTCTCAATTAGTCCAAATTTCTGGTTTCTCACATGGAACCAATGTCTGAACCCAAAATCAACAAGCTATTTACAGGAGTGGTGATCTACCGCTAAGTGAGTTAATTGCTTGCCGAGAAGACATTTGAAATTTCTTAGTCTCGTGAGGCGTAAGCAATAAAGAAGCTTTTATTGCTACCGAATACATTCGCAAAGGCAAATGAGAAAAATTACCAGAAAATATTAAAGAAGAAATCAAGAAAAAATTAAGTGGTAAGGAAGGGGGGTTGTACTTTTCCATTCTTAGTAAAATCAAATATATTTTTCCTAAGCCTCATGCCATAGCTTACACCATGACGGCGTGAAGAACCGCTTTCTACAAGTTATATTATCCCCAAGCTTTTTTTTCAGTTCTTTTAACTTACCACGCAACCATTTATGACATTTGATTAATGACTTTAGATAAAAATGCTATTAACTTCCGTTTGACGAATCTCTTGAATAATTCAATTAATTCTAGTTATAAAAATACTGAAAAAGAGTTGCTCTCGATTATTAAAGTTTTAGAAGAGTTAAATAAAGAAAAAAAGAGAACTCAGAAAAAAGCCGAAGAGAAAAATTCTTTGCAAGAAATTCTAGGAAAAATAGATATCGAGGAGATCTTAGGAAATATTCAAAAAGAAATAGACGGCTCAACTGATAAAGAAAGATTAAAAGATGCTTTAAAGAAAAATGGTAGAATTTGAAAACTGACTGCTAAAGAGAAAGGCTTATTGTTTACTTTAAAGGTAGTTTTAGAAATGGAAGCAAAAGGGCTAGGTTTTGCTCGGGGAGTAGATTTTAATAATTCTGAAATAAAAGATTTTAAAATAGAAAGCAATACTATTTACTTTCCTTTTACAGCTGTCAGTGGCATCGGAGAGAAAGTAGCTGAAAAAATAATCTCTTATCGTCAAGAAAAGGGAAAAATTACTCATTGAAAAGAAGAATTATCACCGTTGCTGAACATTAATCACATTCAACAATTAGAAAATCTAGAAAAGTATAATCTAATTATTAATTCTTAACTTTGGTTTAAAAAAGAATTTGCTTTTGGAAGTTAATAAGTTATATATATATATATTTACAGAACTTTTTTTAATACAAAGTATTAACCGTTAATAAAGATTTCGAGTAAATTAGAAAA